TAGAAATGGCAGAGCCCCAACAGTCAAGATCCTCTGACTCCCAGGTAAGTGCTATTTTTCTATTTCAATTTAGACTGTCTCTGAAGTATTCTGGGAAGACTAGCACATCTGGTGTGGGGGGCTTGCCAAGCCCTTTTCAGGGCTACTCATCCACCTTTGGTGTCCACCTGCTACCCAACTCTCACCTGTAGCTTGCACAGTGTCCACACCCTGGTAAAATCATCTCAGTAGATGGCCTACACCAGGTTGAGGAGAACCAACATGCTTCAGACTTGTTGGTGAATTAAGGAGATATCTACCCCAAGCATATGAAGACTTCACCTGGCAGAATGGGCAGATGAGAACAATTAGTTTCAATGGCCATGAAGGCACCTGAAGTAGGACCTGTGGAGCACTTAGAGTTTGGTCAGACATTGAAGATGCCAAAGTCATCCACTGCATCTGGGTCCATTGCCACTCATCTTGAATTTTGTCTTGCCACTGGACTTTGATGCCTTCAGGAAGAGAAAATGAGGCTGATGACTTTGTGCAACTCTGCCTCACTTAAATCCAATTCACTCTCAAGTCAAGACATCACCCCATGATGTCATTGGTCCTCTTTGAAAACTAAGGACAAATAATAACAACAACACACTGTCTCTATTCCACCTTATATCCTTAGATTGGTAGGATGATTTTCTGCTGATATGAGAGAAATTACTCCTCTTTGAGTTTCTGTAGGTTACTACTGCTGAAATAAATCTACCACAATGTAGAAATTATAGAGGTAAAGACCTGGGTTTTATTATGCTTAAGCACAGGTTCTGGATTTATAAAAATAACTCTGAACCCAGATTAGAGTTTATGACAAGCTTTAATGGAGAAAATTACATTAGAGGGACAAAGAAATAAATTCTTTCACATATTGCAATCTCATACATTCTTTTAGGCTATAAAAGTTAAAACAGATTCATAATCCCATGCTTTTTTCAATGACATCAAAACTGGATGAACTTAAACAGAATCGTAATCTCATATATCACCTAAGGAAACAAACATGGTTAAATAGACTTTAAAGGTAAACTATGTCATGTTATGACTAAACTACATTTAGAGGGTTCACAATGGGGTGACTGAGAGGAAAGGAATTAACTTGTCACCAGAATAACCAAGGAGTCAGCTACAGTTGACATTTGGGATCCTTCCTCAAATAAGGCAAGTCAAGTTATTTTGGGAAGCCTTTACTCCCTTTTTGGTTTCTTATCTGAGGAACATGTGAGGCCTTAAGTAAATTTTCATATCCCATGGCACAGGTTTCAGCCAGCTCAATAATCTCTTTATGAGTGAAATGGCCCTGATACCCCTCCCTTAGACAATAAAAATTAACAAAAAGAAATAAAAAATAAAGATTTTTTATAATGCTGCCATTCAGAAAAGATTAGATATGCTCTGAGTTCCTTTCTCAGACCTTTCCTTCTTGTTCTTTTTTTTAAAATCATGTTTTATTAAAAACTTAACATTGAACATCAATATAGCCAAGGAAACTTGCTTATTTACACTTAAATTGTTTTTTCCCCCTTTTTTGTTTTTCAACTCTAAAAAGGTAAAGGAGACTGAGAAATTAGTTCAAGAGAACCCGAGGAAGGTAAGAATTCATTTCTGAAATCCTAATTAAGTTGTTATCATTTAAGGTCCAGATTATGAAAGACCAGGATCAGATTTGCAGATTAATTGTAGCCTGGAGTGGTTTCTATAGAAACTCTTCCATAGCACAAAATCGAGCCACACTCAGTATCCCCTTGGCTTTTGGAAGGAAGTATACAAAATATAATTTTGTATAATATACAAATGTAATTTGTATAATCTCATTATTGACACTAATTAGTTTAGACTTTGACCAAATCACTTGACTTCCTCCCTCCCTTCCGTTCTACTTTCCTTCCTTTCTTCCTTCCTCCCTCCCTCCTTTACTTCCTTTTTCTTTCTTTCCAAACATGTGATTTCTTCCTCTAGCAAAGAATTTTTTCCAATGCAGATATGCACTTTCTCTGCAATTTAGGAGTTTAAGAGAGTTCCCTGAGGACACAGAGATTCTGTGATTTGCTCAGGCTTGCATAGTTATGCTATATCAGAGAAGGCACCTGAAACCAGGTCTTTTTGACCAGGAGACCGGCTCTCTATCTACTGACATCCTTTTCTTAATCTGCAAAAGGAAAGGCTTGATTTGGGTATCTCTAAGGTCCTTTCCAGTTCTAACAATCTATGGAAAAGGGATCCTTAGCCCTCAGAAATATTGCTGTGGAAGTTTGTTGAATTAATTTGGGAGTTGATTGAAACAGGGAGATATTAGGGAGCTTTGGTTTGAGGAGCACTCCCTTGGTGCTGCACCTGCAAATGTATCCTAATCTTGGAAATGGACCACTATCCATTATTGCAATTGAGTGCTCCCCAGATTTCTCACGTCTTCCATAAACTTTTTTGGAGCTGCTTTCCTTTTTTCATCTGATTTTATATTCCCTTCTTTCCCCAATCCCTCAGCTTCAGTTACAATCATCAATTGCTCACTGACATTTTAAACTGGAAGTCTCTGAGATATCTTAAACTCAGCATTATCTTTACTGAATCATTATCTTTACTTCTAAACCTTATGTCAAAAGCACCAGCATCTTTCAGCATCTCAGGTTTGTAATCTCAGCATTATACTAGATTCCATATTTTATGGCACCCAGCATATCCAATCAGTTACCAAGTTTTGACATTTTTACCTGCATGGTATCTCTTACATCTGACCCCTTCTCTCCACTCACATAAATATTGTCTTTATGACCTCTCACTTAGAGTATTGCAACATCCTCCTAACTGGTCTCCTGGCCTAAAGTCTCACTGCTGCATTTTATTTTACACATTGCCACCAAGGTAATTTTCCTTAAGTGCAAATTTAACTGTGTAACCCCAGTACTCCATAAGCTTCTGTGGATTCTTATTACCTCTAGAAATAAAATATAAAATTCTCCATTTGTTTTTTTTATTTTTTTCAGTTTGAATTTGTATCTTTTTAAAAAATTAATTTATTTTTAATTTTCAACATTCACTTCCATAAACTTTTGAGTTTTAAATTTTCTCCAACTCCATTCCTTTCCCCTTCCCCAAAATGGCATGCGATGTGATATATGCTCTACATATACATTCTTATTAAACATATTTTCACATTAGTCATGTTGTAAAGAAGAATTAGAATGAATGGGAGGAAAGATGAGAAAGAAGAAACAAAACAACAAAAAAAGAGAAAACAGTATGCTTCCATCTGCATTCAGACTCCATAGTTCTTTTTCTGGATGTGGATAGCATTCTCCATCATGAGTCTTTTGGAGTTGTCTCAGATCCTTGTATTGCTGAGAAGAGCTAAGTCTATCAAAGTCAGTTATCACACAATGTGGCTGTTACTGTGTACTATGTTCTCCTGGTTCTGCTCATTTCACTCACTATCAGTTCAAATAAGTGCTTCCAGGTTTTTCTGAAGTCCGCCTGCTCATCATTTCTTATCGCACAATAGTATTCCATTACATTCATATACCACAACTTGTTCAGCCATTCCCCAATTGATGGGCATCCCCTCAATTTCCAATTCTTGGCCACCACAGAAAGAGCTCCTATAAATATTTTTGTACGTGTGGGTCTTTCCCCCTTTTTTTATGATCTCTTTGGGATACAGACCTAGAAGTGGTATTGCTGGGTCAAAGGGTATGCAGTTTTATAGCCCTTTGGGCATAGTTCCAAATAGCTCTCCAAAATGGTTGGATCAGTTCACAACTCTACCAACAATGCATTAGTGTTCCAACTTTCCCACATCTTCTCCAACATTTATCATTTTCCCGTTTTGTTGTGTTAGCCCATCTGATAGGTGTGATGTGATACCTCAGAGTTGTTTAGATTTGCATTTCTCTAATCAACAGTGATTGACAGCATTTTTTCATATGACTATAGATCCGTTTGGTTTTTAAAGTCCTAGCCTGGCCCCAGCTGATCTTTCCAAACTCATTGGACATTACTTCTGCCCTCTGTGATCCAGCCAAGTTAGTCTTCTCTCTGTTCCTCATTCAGTATCCTCCATCTCCCCTCTCAGAGCATTTCTACTGGCCATCCCCCATTCCGGAATGCATTCCCTCTTCATCCCTGCTCATAGCCCCTCTTCCTTTAAGATACAGCCCCTGCACCATAGTCCAAATGAAGCCCTTCCTGATCCTCCCACCTGCTAATACTCTCCCTCCCAAATTACTTACTATCTAACTGCTTTGGCTATGTTTGTGTATATATCATTACTTATGCTTCATGTATTTTCATGTGTACTTGTCTCCTTAGTTTAGAATGTAAGCTCATGGAGGGTAGGGATAGTTTCCGTCTTTGTACTTGTATTCCCATGGCTTAGCGCATTGCTGGGCACATAGAAGGTGCTCAATAAATACTTGTTGGTCTATATAATTCATATTTAAAGACGAGACAGTGATTCACGGTTTTGCTATATGTAATGAGCTATAACATTTTAGGAAGAACGACGACCTATAGAAATACAATAAACAAACGGCAAACATCAAAAAGATGATAGCGCTTTTCATACTGAGGCTGGCGGGAAGAGAGCCCGCAGCGCACCGTGCGCGCCCCGTTAGGAGGTGGGAGGGGGCGTGTGAGCGCCAGCGGAACTACATTACCCAGAATGCCCCGTACCAGAGCGAGTCGTCTCCCCTCATTCTCTACCCCTGACACCCCCGGTCGAGCCAGTCAGTCACAGCCCTGTAGTTCGGCCCGTTCGGACCCAACGGAGAGCGGGCCGAACCGCAGCCGGGCAGGCCCGGGCTCGGAGGCGGGGTTCTTTCTCGGAGGGGCGGCCGGCCGGAAAGGAGAGCGGGGCGGGTCAAGTCGAGGCTCCACGCGCTCCCGCGCTCCCTCTCAGGCCGCCTTGCGAGCCGGGGAGCTCAGCCCTCCACCTCGGCCTCCCGCCCCACCCCGCCCCGAGGCCGAGGCCCGAGGCTCCCTCTCTCCGCCCTCGCCCGGGCCTACGCCTCCCGAGCGGTGAGTGGGGGAGGGGGAGGGACCCGGATCCGGGACGGACCGTGCGCTCTGCCCCTCCCCTCCCTGGGCCCGATGCCGGGGCGTCGGCCCCCGCGCCGAGCCGTGACCCATGACCTTCTCACTGGAACGTGGAGGGAGGAGAGGAGAGAAGGGGGGAAAAAACACCCTAGGGAGGAGTGATGATAGATGGCATGTACCGAATGTCCTATTTGATAACGAGCTTATATCGGCCCATCCTTCAGATGAGAAAACTGAGGGCAGCTGGTAGTTCAGTGCCTGGAGTCAGGAAAATGAGTTCAAACCTGGCCTCAGACAAGTCACTTAATCTCGGTGTGCCTCAGTTTCCTGTGTTATAACGTTTCATGTGAGAGGCAGAAAGGTATAGTAGATAGTGTAGTGGAGAGCGTATTAGGCCTGGAAGACCTGAGTTCAGATTCAGACACATACTATCTTTGTGACTCTGGGCAGGTCACTTAACTTTGCCTCAGTTTCCTATACTGTAAAATGGAGTTAATAACAGCACCTAGCTCTCTGGTGGTTGCTGTGAGGATCATATGAGATAATAATTGTAAGGTGCTTAATGCAGTACCTGGCCTGTAGTAAACACTACATAAATGTTAGCTATTATTATTATTAGTAGTAGTAGTAGTAGTAGTAGTAGTAGTAGTAGTAGTAGTATTACAACAGTGCCTGGCATGCAGTAGGTGCTTGATAAATGCTTATTCCTTCCTTTCCTCCTCATTGGCAGTCTGGTGGACCCCTTCTTAGAATAATATTTTTTAAATAATTGAAGGAAACACTGTTTCAGTTAGAGTTTAGTGAAAATTAAGATGTGATGTTTTTTTCTCCCCATCCAAGCCCATGGACCCACTGAAATCTATCCATAGATCCCACCTTAAGAGTCGCTAATTTAGTTCAACTCCTTCATTTTACAGATGAGGAAATTGAGGCCTAGCACGTTAAAGTGATTTGTCCAGAGTCACACCAGTAGTATTAGAGATAGATTTTGAACCCAAGTCCTTTGACTTGGGTGCTCTTTCTACCATATCATCTAATGCAATCTTATTTTGCAAATAAGAAAACTTCTCTGGGCCTTACTTAAGTGGCCTTTCCATGGCCATAGTGGAAGTAAGAGAGGGATGAGAATAAGAACTAGACCTGTGATTTCACAGATTTTGCTATTTCTTCTTCAGAGCCCCAAAGAGAAAAAAAAAAAGTTCCTTTCACAAGGGCCCTGCGGTTCCCATAACGGAGACAGCTGATCTTCAGAGCCCTGTGGCAGAGTTGGTTCCATTCAGGACTATGGCTACAGCCCTTGGCCTGCAGCTCCAATCTCCACTGGAACAGGAAGACATCCTTATTGTGAAGGTGGAAGAAGATTTCCCTTGGGAAGAGGAGGCACCTTTGCAAAGGAATGATCCCAGTCCTGAGACCTTCCGTCAGCTCTTTAGGCTGTTTTGCTATCAGGAGGTGGCTGGACCCCGGGAGGCTCTCAGCCGCCTCTGGGAGCTCTGTTGTCGGTGGCTGCGGCCAGAGTTGCGTACGAAGGAGCAGATCCTGGAGCTATTGGTGCTGGAGCAGTTCCTGACAGTTTTGCCAGGGGAGATCCAGACTTGGGTACGGGAACAGCATCCAGAGAGTGGTGAGGAGGCAGTGGTCCTGGTCGAGGGTTTGCAGAGAGAGCCCAGGAAACAGAGGCTACGGGTGAGGAAGAGATTTTAATTCTGAGGACTTGGAGTATTAACAAGAGATGGGATCCATTCCAGTTTTGATCCCTTACAATTCTTAAGCTCTTTAGGCAGGCACTGCCAGTTGAGATCTTAAAATTATAGACTCTTTCAACCTGTACTATAATTTTACTGAGGGCTGGCCAAGATCAGAGTTTGCGCCTGGTTTACCATCAGAATTGCACCCAACCCAAACAAGTCCACACAGAACTGAGGGAAAAGGAAAAAAATTCTTTCCTATTCTGTGTTCATTTCCTCTTGTTTTATTTTCAAGAAATAACTTCCATGGAGTTGGAAATTATACCCTCTCCTTTTTTTGTATCTTCCCATAGTGCCTATGTGCCCTATATTGTTGATTGACTTAAGTTTCCCTCTCCCCTAGACCTGGTCATCATTTTCCCCTGGGTAATGTTGTGCAATGGTGTTTCTTGTTTAACGGAACAGGTGCATTCCCGAAAAGTTGACTATAAAGTTAGTTTACATTAATTAAGCAAATCTTACTATCATTGATTTTATTATTCAGTTAGAGATGTGCTTTCTTTAGGGAAAAACACTCATCTATGTCTTTCTCTTCTGATACTTCAGTATTGTCTTTTCCAATCACTAACCAAACTTTCCTAATAGTTGTTTTATCACAGAGCAAAGAAGGGTAGAACCAGGCATCCCATTAGTGAATAGAAACATAGGCAGCAGTGACCCAGAAGTGCTAAGGGAATTAGCTGATGGAGTGTGAGAAAATGACTTCCAACCTGTGAGTTTTGTGGCATACTAGGATATTTCATAATTTCAGTGATATTGCAAGATTCTTAAGCTCTCAGAATCAAATTAATATTAATTCTAAAAATAAATGTATGCTGGAAGACAGTACTGGTACCAGATTATCAAAGTTAATGGTACATCTTTCCATTTTGTTAAGTTGATAAATATCAAAACTGGAAAGTGTCATGTACTGTGAATTGCAATTAAGTCGTTTTGTATAACTTTTTGGAGAACATACTTTGTGGTGGTATGGTTTGGGTGTTTGTTGGAAAATCTCTTGGGATAAAACAAAATATATTAATAAAATGTTACTTAAATATATGCTACACAGTGTTTTTAACAGAAGGAAAGAAGGTATCATGGAATCAAACAAAAATGTGACTGGTACAGTTCCCAAAAAATGGGAATTACTCTCATAAAAGCATTAGAAATATGATACTGGGTCAGATTCATTGTCTAGCTACTTCATGACTCTTTTCTCTAAAAGTGACAGAAAGGAATGGTTTGTAAAAAGTTAAGTAGTTAAGGTTGAGGCTGTACCTCTCAGTACCCCCAATTATTCCTTAACATTTTTCTATGTCTGTTTGCCACAAATTTACCCTGAGGTAGGGATTTCAAGATCACTGACTTAATAGCATCTACAGAAAGAATAGGGCAGGGGGGGCAGCTGGGTGACGCAGTGGATAGAGCACCAGCTCTGAAGTCAGGAGAACCTGAGTTCAAATCCGGCCTCAGACCGAACACTTGACACTTATTAGCTGTGTGACCCAGGGCAAGTCACTTAACCCCAATTGCCTGGCAAAAAAAAAAAGAGTAGGGCTGGGGCTGGGACCAGGACCAGGGCCAGGCAATTCCAACTCTACCTGATTCATCATACCTTTTACCTTAGTAGAGGCCCTTGATTGTTTCTGTATCTAGTAAATTCTGCACCAAGTAAATTCTAACTAAACTCTAAGAAACAAACTAGGAAGCGTCAGAAGAATAAGAGATTCTAGCAGTCACAGAGAGTAGAAAATGTAATTGGGCAAAGAGTGAAATGTGAGAAGCAAAGGATTATAACTAAGAGAAAAAAACAGACTAGAGAGTAGAGGGAAAAGAATAAAAAGTGAAGAAACGGAGTTTGAAGTGAGGGGAAAGGTGAAAAGGATCTTAAAGGTGATAAAGGATTGAGAAGGACCTGGGGGAATCTAGTTCTGAATTTTCCAGATTCTTTTGTAACAGAAGAAGGGATGTGGGCTGTTTCCAGATTACAGTCACTGTGCCAGGACTGGAGGTGCTCTCTGAAGAGAAAGTGCCTCAGGGAACAGCACAGGAATCTTTGATATTCCAGGGAACCGTGCAGCAAGAGGCGAGGTCCCAAGAGGAGGGAGCGCAGAACTCCTGCCCCGGACCAAAGGAACTACCCAACCATAGATCTAAAAAGAATCTCCAACTTCGACCAAAGAGAGGTGAGAAACTGCCCTTCCTTGGGAAGGAAAGGAGTAGGTATCATGAAGGGAAAGGAAAAGAGGATACATGGGAAGAATCGGGGCAAGTGTGTGGGTTCAGTGGGAAATGGACAAGATTAGGAGATGTCATAATGGAAAGATCATTGGCTCTAATTGGAGGACCTCAGTTCAAATCACACCACAGACGCTTGTAACTTTTGTGATCTTGGGCAAGTTGTGTAACTTTCTTGGGCCTCAGTTTCCTCATTTGAAAAACGAGGAGGTTGGATTAGATGGCTTCTGAGGTTTCTTCCAGCTCTGTATCTGATTCTATGATTACAGACATAGAACTAAGTATGAGGTAAGAGTTTAGGGGTAATTTCTTAAAATGCAATTGGGAAATATTTAACAAAATAAATAAAAATGTATTAGAAACAAAAACAAAAAGAATTTAGTGGTCCTGCCCAGCACTTTGGTCAGGCATGTGGCATCAGAACAGCATGTGGTGAAGGGCTAAGACAAACTTTATGGTTTAGGATAGACATCTTGAACTCAGTGAAGAGAACGGGCAGCCCTGAGCAAGGTATGACTCAATTAAGACTGTTCTCCTTCCATAGGTTCACCTGCCTCCCAGGTTTCTGCCCTCTTCAGTGAGGAGAGTACTAGAGAACAGGAAACAGCAACTGCATTAATCTCTGCCTGGTCCCAGGTAAATCATGTTTTCCCACTCCACTTCACCCTATCTCAGCCCATCTCTATTTTTACCTCTAAAATAAATAATAGATGTTATTTCAGAATTCAGAGGTTAGTTTTCCTGGGAACTTGGGTCCAAAATAGTCTCAAGGTATCTTGTTATCCTAGAATTAACCATCTTTGATAATACAGGATTCAAGTAATAAACTCAAGTACATATTACTTGAACTGAGGCTCAAAGTGTTTGATTCTGCTTGGCCTCTGAGTTTTACTGGTTTGGGCTGGCTCAAAAAGGTAGCCAAGAATTGTGGGCCAGTAGGCTTCATGTTGAACTGAATCCTAAATGGACCATGTTTCATATGTGTGTGTGTGTGTGTGTGTGTGTGTGTGTGTGTGTGTGTGTGTTAAGGGGGACTGATTCTTGGGAGGAATCAGTCTTCTTAGCAAATGAGATTTTTAAAAAAAAAATCGTTCTATACACATTAATCCAAACAAAACTTTAAGCTGTAAGATGCAGATTTCTGTCTTCATCTTTCCTGAAACCTCCCCCCTCACCATTCTCTTCCCCTACAACATCTCCGTCTGTAAAGAAAAAAAAAATCAGTTTGAGTCTCTCATTGTTTTATGCTAGTGAACCGTATTGTTCTATCACTCTCCGCTGCTCCTGGCAGCCACTTGTCACCTTAGGGAAGGTCAACTAAGTCTCCTTCATCCATTCCAACATATCATCAGGCTTGTCTGGCTTTTTCTGAATGTTTCAGGTTTTCTTCCAGAGTGTTCATATGGCGGCTTTGGGTCTTGCCCCAGTGCGTTGCCTTCTCATTTTTCATATCAGTTTGTCAGCCTCCTGGCACAGTCATACTTTGTCCTAGGTCCAAGGAAATGTTTCTGCTCTAGCCAGATTATCCATATTTCCTACACATTCCAAGTCTTGCTAGGTAGTCCTTGCTGTAGAACCTGGTAGCAATTTCTTTTGCTCTGAGAGCTGTCAGCAGGACTGGGGAATATACGGGCAAAGAAGCCTCAGGCATTGGTGGAAAAGAGGGTGAGAAGTGAGAAACAACAAAGAAAAGGGAATGAAAGAATGAGGTAACAGAAAGACCCTGAGACAGGGAGTCTAAGCAGGAGATCAATGTGACCTGACTGTTGTACAAAGATGGAGAAGACAAAGATGTAGCAGGTAGCATGAAGGCAGCTAGGGGGCAAGTGGGTAGAGTGCTAGGCCTGAAGTTAGGAAAACTCATCTTCCTCAGTTAAAATCTGGCCTCAGATACTTACTAGCCATGTGACCCTAGGCAAATCACTTAACCCTATATGCCTCAGTTTCCTCATCTGTAAAATGAGCTGGAAAAGGAAATGGCAAACCACTCCAGTATCTTTGCCAACAAAACCCCAAGTGGGGTCACAATGAGTGGGATATTACTAAAATGACTGAACAACATGAAAGTCAAAGTTTCAAGATTTAGCTACAGAATAGTTATGTAGTATAGCTTCTTTGGGCTGTATCCCAAAGAGATCATAAAAACGAGAAAAGGAGTCACATGTACAAAAATATTTATACCAGTTTTTTTTGTGGTGGCAAAGAGTTGGAAATTGAGAGGATGCCCATCAATTGGGGAATGGCTGAACAAGTTGTGTATGAATGTAATGGAATATTATTGTGCTATTGAGCAAGTGGACTTCAGAAAAACCTGGAAAGACTTGTATGGTCTGATGCTGAGTGAAGTGAGCAGAACCAGGAGAACATTGTACACAGTTACAGCTGTGTTGTGCGATGATTAACTTTGATAGACTTAGCTCTTCTCAGCAATGCAAGAATCTGAGACAACTCCAAAAGTCTCATGTTGGAAAATGCTGTCCAGATCCAGAGAAGGAACTATGGACTCTGAATGCAGATTGGAGCATACTATTTGTTCTTTTTTTTCTTCTGTTTTGTTTTATTTCTTCTTGTGGTTCCTCCTATTGGTTCTAATTCACATGACTAATGTGACAATATGTTTAATAAGAATGTATATGTAGAGCCTATATCAGATTGCACGTTGTCTTGGGGAGGGGGAGGGGAGGGAGACAGAGAAAGCTTAAAACTCAAAAGCTTATTGAAGTGAATGTTGAAAACTAAAAATAAATTAATTTTAAAAAATTTTTAAAGTTTAAAAAGAAAACGCAGATATGTAGTGAGAATCACTACATGTAGGAGAATCAAAAGTGATCCCAGGAATTCTTGGGCTGTTAGTGATAGGATTGTAGATCATTTTGAGAGTTTTGATGCTCACCATAAGCCAGGACCAAGACTGAACATTGAGGTAGCTATGACTGAATGGAGTTACATGATTTTTGCAGATGCCAGTGACGTTTGAGGACATGACTATGTACCTCTCCCAGGAGGAATGGGGGCGCCTGGATCCAGTTCAAAGAGAACACTATAGGGATGTCCTGCAGGAAAAATATGGTAACATGATTCTGCTAAGTAAAGCCTGTGTTTTCCCTTTGGCTTAAAACCTTTGAGGTCTATGATGCTTGGGTATTGCTGTGTCTAGAGGTGTCATTCTTACATATTCTCCCTTTTTTCCTCACTACTTTACCCCAGTGTATATCAGTCAATAAACATTTAATAGACGAACGTTATGTGCAAGGCACTGTCCTGAGTGATGGAGTTAGGAGGAGGTATAAGGGGCTTCTGGTCTAAGTTGTAAGAGATAAGACATATACATAACAAGGTAACTAACAATTCAAAGGGGCATATGAGTAGTCCAGATAATATAGGAGATATTTAAGATACCACATTAATATTCTGTTACTTTTTTTTTTTTGGAGACTGGGTCTATCTTTCCCAGACTGGAAGTACAGTGGTCACTCATAGGCCCAGTCCCATTGCTGATCAGTACGGAAGCTTTGACCTCCATATTTGACCTAGGCCAGTTCATATACCTCCTTTGGGTAACCTTGTAACCCCTGGCTCTGGGGGTCCTCACCATCAGTACAAACTTCATATGGGGCACTGAATTGTCTTTTTCCGTACTGTAGCTCAGAACGCCCAACCTCAAGAGATCCATCAGCCTCAGCCTGCCCCAGTAGCAGGTATAGTTGGAGTGTGCTATCATACCTGGTCTCCATTACTGAACCTGGCCAATTTGTCTGTCTTACAGACCACATCTATAGTGACACCTTCTATAGTCACCTCTTATATGCTGTATAACTAGGGGTCCATAGGCTTCACCTGACTGCCAAAGGATAAGAGCTTCTGCTCTATAACATGATAATAAGAGCATAGTCATGGATCAGTTCCCCTGTGAGCCAGTAAATAGCTTTGTTAGTCACAGGTTGCATCTCTAGTCTCATCTGGCAGTCTCACAGCATGTGCCATTGGTCATGAGGGAGACTGGGTAAGAGATGGAATCCATTAAAATCTATCACTCCTATTGGATAATGGGCTCCCAATGTATGCTCTACTAATCACTAATGTCAGTCTAATGGAAAGGGCAGCATTGTGCTTCAGGAACAAGATTTTCTACTTCATCTTCAAGTTTCTCACTTGCTTAATTTAATGTCCTTTATTTCTCATTTTTGTATTATCTGACCATCAGGAAAACCTACTCAAGGCCTTCTTTATCCATTTCTACTCCCACCCCAAAGTCTTTTCTTATGCAACTCTTTGTGATTAGGATTTCTTAGTTTACTAAATTCCTTTCTATCAATCAAAAACACTTAAAATCCTACCTTCTCTTAGGAACTTTTCCCAAATAACTGATATTGATATAACTGTTTACACAGCCATCCATTCTGTTTTGAAGTAACCAAATTATTCATATCTTCCTTTTATGAACCAAAACCTATTGATGTGTAAATGGTTGACTGTCTGCCACATCCTTTTGTTTTAGTTAAAATGAGTCTTGGGGCAGCTAGGTGGTACAGTGAATAGAGCAGTGGCCCTGAGAGGACCTGAGTTCAAATGTGGCCTTAGCCACTTACTAAATGTGTGACCTTGGGCAAATTGCTTAATCCCGATTGCCTCCCTGCAAAAAATAGATGAATAAAGTCAGTCTTCTACTGTAGGTTGTAAATCCCTAAAGGGAAAGGGCTGTGCCTTTTGAACTGTTGTGTAACCTTTCAGCATTAATGGCTAAAATCATATTAGGGCGTGTGTATTCTGTTAGATGTTCTCAAAGTTCTCAAACCTAACAATCATATTTTTTTCACCTTGGGTTCTTGGCCTCTCTGGAAGGTTCCAGAGAGGAAATGACATGTTACATTTCTGGACTCTGAACTTACTCTCTTATTTGGAGGCCAATTGTGTATGTTAATGGAATTTGTTCTCTTCCTTTTACTGAGCATTGACCTTCCTTATGGACAGGGTTTCCTGTTCCCAAACCAAATCTGATTACCCAACTGGATCAAAGGGAACGACTGTGGACCTCGAGTCTACAAGCTTTCAAGGAGAGGAATATTCCAAGATATAATCACACAGGTGAGGAGAACAGCCAACAGTAGGATTTCAGCTATCATGGAACTTGGGGTTTTGAAGATTCTGCTAATGAAATGTTGCCTCATGTAAGGTAAGAGAAAATGAGAAAGATGAATATTGTCTAGTGAAAGTTTTAAGGCACAAGAAAAAGTTGCTGTTTTGATTTGTAGCATTGAAAGTAATAAATCAGGTTTACTAAATGAAACACTTCATAAAGAGCTAAAAGGGAAAATAGCTCCCAGAGGAAGAATAAGATTAGGCCAGGTGAATAATAGTGAATACTAAGAAATAGCACAAGTTGACAGGAACATTATCAAGGGAAAAAATGTAATATAAAAGAATCACTCAATCATTAAACATTTATATAACACCTACTAGGTAGAGAACATTGTATAAGAGGCATGGAATAGTAGGACCTGGGAAAGCATTTATCCTTTAAATGGAGATTTTCCATCTCCTAAAAATACTAGAAAGACAGAAACTTTTATCCTTTGAGCCTGTGCCAAAAATTTTGAATTCTGGTTATCTGAGCATATTTGGACAACTTATAACAGAAATAATAACTTAATAACAGAAATAACAAGAAGTCAAATCTTAATAGCAAAAGAAATTGGAAAAGACTTTTAGATTAAGCTTTTAACAGAAAATTCTGTGAATCAGTGAGTCCTGATGACATGCATTTCCAGGTACTTGAGTCATATATGTCCCCATCTTTGCCTATGACATCATGCTTCCCCTTCATGGCACAGCTGAAAAGAACCCAGCCTTCATGACCTTTCCTCCCACTTAACTAGATTGCTTCCTTATCTTATCTCAGCGCTTTGGACCCTTCTTATGCACAGAGTCATGTTATGCTTATTTGTATGTATGTTTCATCACCCCTACTAGATTGTAAGCTCCTGAAGGGCAAGAGTAGTGTCCTATTTGTTTTTGTGTATTGTACTTGATAGGTTTTAATAAATGTTTGTTGTGTGAATAAAATAAATGAATGTAGGTTGAAATTATTCCACTTTGAAATAGTAGTTCGGAGATGGAAAGCTGAAACCCAGTCAAAGGAGAAAGTCCTTCCTAATTGTTGACATACAAAGAACCTCATGGGTATGAAAAGGAAAAAAATCTCTGGTTCCTGCCTAGTCTTACTTGATTCACTGAGTCTTGGGGCAGCCAGGTGGCTGCCTGGAGTCAGGAGGCCTGGAGTCAGGAGGACTTTAGTTCAAATGCGACCTCAGACCAGACATTTGACATTAGTTGTGTGACCCTAGGCAAGTCACTTAACCCCAATTGCTTCACCAAAGGAAAAAAAATACTACTGTTTGGGGCATCTAGGTAGCACAGTGGATAGAACTCTAGCCTTGGAGTCAGGAGGACCTGAGTTCAAATCTGGCCTCAGACACTTGACACTTACTAAATTGTGTGACCCTGGGTAAGTCACTTAATCCCGATTGCGTCACCAAAAAGCAAAAAAAAAAATTTGATTCACTGAGTCTAGATTTTGACATCAGTCATGATTATCAAAATCTAGTTCACATTTAGCATCACAAAATTTATGTTGGGACAGGGGAGGGAGAGTTGAGAGGTTCTGCCCTTGAGTCTGATGGCAGATCTACTCACCAGGGAATCCCACACTGAGAATCCCATACTCTGCTGTTCCCTTCTAGTTCAGGGTTTCAAAATACTAGTGAATGGTTCCATTCTGTATCTCGGTCATTCTATATTTAGGGAGGACCTACTGTGTACAGTACACTTAATATGGGAGTCCTAGTTTTCTGAGATCCTTAGAAGGAATTACCACAAAGACCTAGAAGTGTCTTACAAGTGGTTAATAAACAGTGGAAGGATACTGCTACCCTTAGCTACCTAGAACTTGTTTTTAATCTAGATACTTTGCACCCCAAAACAGTAGTCTAAATATGGAAGTAGATGTAAAAAGATAGAATGGTAACTTCTTTGAGTTTTAAAAGTCTGCCTTATTACAAATTTTCAAATGTAATTACAAATTACAGAAACTGTCAGTGTAATTTTTCAAACTTTCTCCCTTTTTACCTAGCCCCCTCCTGCTTTTCTAGTCTTCTTATGCTTTATTCCCTGGCTTGTACTCTTTGATCCAATGACACAAGGCCTCCAACCTGTTCCATGAATAAGACACTCCATCTCCCAGCCCTGGACATTCTCTCTTGCTGTCTCCCATACCTGGAATGCTCTCCCTCTTTCATTCTGACCACTGATTTCCCTGGTTTCCTTTAGGTTCCAGCTAAAATCTCACCTCCTACAGGAAACCTTCTTCAGCTCTTAATTCCAGTGCTTTCCCTGTTAGTTATTTCCCATTTATCCTGTATATAGCTTGCTTTGTATTTATTTGTTTGCAAGCTATTTCTCCCACTATATTATAAGCTCTTTGAGAACAGGGATGATCTTTTGCTTCTTTTTGCAATTCCAGTGCCTGGCAGATAGCAGGTGCTTAATAAATGTTTATGGATTGACTGACTGATTTTACCTTGAATTCACTACCCTCTAGATCAGGGATTTCATTTTCTCTTCTTTCTTCCAGGATATGAGATCAAAATTGAGAATGAAGAAGATTCCAGGGAGGATTCTGCCATGAACATGGAGTTCTGTAGAACCCTGGCAGGGAAATCCAGGGAACATGGTCTTCAGTTAGCTTGTCAGGGACAGGCTTGTGTGATTCGGTCAGAATGGCATCAGGGCTACCCACTAGTGGAGAGAGAGAGCCAAACTTCTGTTCAGGAAAAGGATATAGGTCTTCAGAGAGCCTGTATAGTAGAGAAACCCTATAAATGCCTTGAATGTGGCAAAAGCTTTAACAAAAGTTCTCATTTGATCAAACATCAGAGAACCCACACAGGGGAGAAACCCTACAAGTGTCTTGTATGTGGAAAGGGCTTCAGTGACCGCTCCAATTTCAGTACCCACCAGAGAATTCATACTGGAGAAAAACCCTACAAATGTAATGAATGTGGGAAGTGCTTCAGCCAGAGCTCAAGCCTTGTCATACACCGAAGAACCCACACTGGAGAGAGACCCTATAAATGTGAAGAATGTGGGAAAAGCTTCAATAACAGCTCTCATTTCAGTGCACACCGGAGAACCCACACGGGCGAGAAACCCTATATGTGCCAGAATTGTGGGAAAAGCTTTCGTCGGGGCACTGACCTTAATAAACATCAGAGAATCCATACAGGAGAGAGGCCCTATAAATGTGAGGTGTGCGGGAAAAGCTTCACACGGAAACACCAACTTGTAACACATCAGGAGATTCATGCAGGGGAGAGTCATGTTCACTGACCGAGGTTTGGAGTCATCTTCCACTGAAGCTCGGCTTTTCAGAGATGCCTGGTGGTGGGAGGTGGGAATTTTGAACAATATACAGCTGTCCTCTTGTTTGAAGGATATTTGTTTTCAGGATTTTGAACTTTACAATATTGATTAAGACAAAACCATTAACTTAGAGGATGTTTAGACTTGAACACGTTATGGGCTATCAAGGGGCAGCTACTACCATGGCACATCACAGGCTGATTCTGTTACAGATACCCAGGAAGCTTTGTGAGGGTAAAAGATTTCTGACTGGGAAAATGTTGCAGAAATATACCTTGTATTTCCGCATACTGCGTGCCTCAGGCCTCACCACCGTTCTGGTCCTTTTTGCCAACCGTTTTCAACTCGGTCTATTGAACTTTTTGCCATAAGAATATATCTCTGATGTTCTAGTGGAAGTTGTTGAGAAAGTAGAATTTACTTTATAGAAATGTGTTTTGTTGCCAGTCCTGCTAGAATACATTTATTCTATAGAGTGATATTTTTCATGTGCAGATAGGTAAGAGAGATCACTCTTACATGCTGGCACATCACCTGCCCTGCTTAGCAAGCTCAAAACTTTCCTTTTTCAATTGTTCCTGTTGAATCTGAGAGCCTGGAGTCAAGGACTGTTTTCTATTCTTAGCTCTGGGTTTATCCACGAGTTTTTAGGGGTTTTTTGTTTTGTTTGTTTTTGTTTGGTTTTTTTTTATGTGAGGCAACTGGGGTTAAGTGCCTTGCCCAGAGTCACACAGCTAGTGAGTGTTATGTGTCTGAGGCCAGATTTGAACTCAGGTCCTCCTGGCTCCAGGGCCGGTGTTGTATCCACTGTGCCACCTAGTTGCCCCTTTTTAGGGTGTTTTTTTTTTTATAGCTGCCTCTGCCTGGGTCTTTCCGGAGTAAAAAAGATATCAGCCTGGAGCTTCCAGTTCAATTCTCAATCCTATCTAGGCTGCTAATGTTTGTCCTCTCCAACTGTTTACTATTTATGGTATGGGGAATGGCTCATGAAGATTAGTAGAGAGTAACTCTTCTATTAGATTCAGAGAGCTGGTTTCCCAGTGATAGCTAATGAAGTTTGGTAGATCTCACTTCTTTCCAGGGAGAAATTAGTCCTAGAAGCAGCAATATATTCCTCTCTTGGGGCAACATTTACTCATTACCCAGCTTTGTTATCCTTTCAGTTTTTCCCATCACCTAACTCCATATGTGTATTTTCACATTTGATAGTCTTACCTTCATGTGAACCTAGCCTCGGGCCACAGTGAGACTCTAAAACACATATAATACCTGCCCCTCTTCATTCCTTTAATAAAGGCAATACTTTTTTTTTCTTTTTTTTGCCCTTGCTTGTTTTCTACATTTTTTGGAGAGTGGGATTTAAATGAGCCTTAAGTGTAATCAAGTCCTCCTCTGCTGGTGCTTCATTGTGGTGGGGTAGTGACCCTGGCTGCACGAAGGCTATACCAGTGCACACAAGCTATGGCAGATCCTGCTAAACTGGGAAGCCTCTGAAGGACTGTACGGGGTCTAAGGACCAGTTGGGCTAAGTTTGGTGAGTCTAATTAGATTGCCTATAATGAGAGATCTGCATCAATGAGGACCGGATCCACATCCAAAAAATCAGACCCTAGAAAGTAGTAAGTTGGATGTGATGAGCACCTTTTCAGTTTAGGTTTAGGAGCTTCTCTGGTGCACAAATTTAGAAACCAGAACAAAATTCCCTCCACTTTCAGGCTGGTTTGGTTTATGGCCAGCCCTATTTTTCTCTCCCCGTTGTGCTCAATCCTTTTTCTCCCTTCTCTCCCAAGTGGGGTTTTATAAGCATAAGAGGGGTGAAATTCTTAAGAGTAGATGGGAATCACTATGAACCAGGCTATTAGTACACTTTAGCATACCATGTGATGCAAAGTCTTAAGCTTGCACCCTGGTTTGGGATACTATCACATCATGTTGACTGAGAAGACTGGGACCTGAATGCAGCTCAGTACATGGCCGGTCCTGGAGCTTCAAGTTATCAGTTGACCCTAAAGGGTAGGATCTTTTTGAGAGAGTCCGTAGTGCTTGTACGGAATGGAATATCTGGATGGAATAACTTCATACTACCATGAATAATCCTGACCCTCAGGCCTCACCCCTCTGACCCAATGCTGTAGCAAGACATCTTGAAACCACTCTAGATTAGGCTGGATGGGTTTCCTAGGCACAGCTTGGCCTAGAATTGCCCCTCCAGTGTAGTAACTAGCCCACGTAGCTTTTGAAGGTGTGGGTCAGGGTGTCCCAAATTTGTGAGCCAGATAATTTTAACTATGTCCTCATGTGGTACCACAGCCTAAAGTGTAAGAATGTTGCATCCTTAGTTTAGCAGTACTTTCTGTCTGCTACCTTCTAGTTTAGTGTTCGGGTGCATGTTCCACCTCCAAAAAATCACAACTCCCTCTTAGTTCAGCTTCCTAGTTCCTAGGGCCCTTAATTCCTTAATTTTGAATTGACACCTTTCCTTCTGATTCTTCTCATACCCATGTTATTAATATACCACCTTAGAACCATCATTCCCTCCTGTCTCCCTCAAAGGACTAATTCCAGACCCTAACAGTGTAAGAACACCTGCTCTTCATTTTCTGGGAATAGAGATCCGATCTCTCTTGGGATATGGGTTGTGGTAGAACAGCCCTTCAGTCTCTTTCCAAACCTCCCAGATGTGTAACAAACTAAACCAAAAAAATGTGTTGGTACTTCAGAGGAGGCAGGACATGAGTAGAGTTGGGAATTTTATGTTTGTTGGAATGTAATAAAAATTTCCTATTTTTCCTTCATAAAGAGCAACTTTATACTTTTTTTAAAAAACAAAGTTTTTATATTATAAGTATAGGAAATAAATGTTGACAAGTGAAATAACTGAACATACAGTTGCAAGATACACTGCCTTGGTGTAGTTGCCCTATACCTATAGGTGTAAGTATTACTCACATTCTACACTAGTGATTGATTGGATGTCAAATAGGGGCTGATAAAAGAACAAACACAATACTACAAAGATAAACCAAATGATACATAACAAAATAGCAACTACGTAAAGTACTGAGACCAAACTATAAGAACAATCAGGCCACTTGGTCAAACTGATAGCGGAAAGAGCTGATAAAGCAGTGGGACATGCATAGGGTTGTGTTGGAGCCAGTTCTTATCAGTTATTAAATTTTTAGTGTGAGCATTTACACCTTGGAAATCATCAAAGGCCACCAAACAGGGCTTGATTTATTTTGTTGGTTTTCTAGATTTAAGAGAGTAATAGATAAAATAAGAATGCAGATTAAACTTAGAAGTATGTTGTGGGTTTTCAGAGAGCCAGTTGTTAAACATTTACCAGCACACCATTAGGCAGACTGTTAAGAGTTGTCACAATTAAAAACCTTGCAAAAGCTCTAAAATACAATTCCCAGCCCATTGACCTTGTCTTAATTTCCTTAACAAATAGATCATCCAGAGCTGCTGTTGAACTTGGAACTGAAAGTTGATTTTCTGTTACTTTATTGAATAGATATTTTAATACATTTGCTGATATTAAAGGGGGAAAAGAGAAACATTAGAATTAAAAAACAAGAAGCCTTTGAATACCAAGGTAGTAGAATGTTGGGCAGCTCTACGCTGACATCAAATGAAAGTATCAATCAAGCTGAAGAGCTCCCTAGTCAGAGCTCAGGTCCTAAGGTAGTCAAGGGGCATACAGATGTGGGTGGAGGTTATGGAGGGCCCAGGGAAGCTGGGCTATTCAAGGCAATCTGGGCCTGTTCCTGGTCACAGTCACAACTACAAGTCCTCTTCTGATTTTCTATTATCCTACTTGGAAACTAGTTGAATTCCCTTCCTCCACCTAGTGTTTATTAGGGTTGGTGGCTGGGTCTTCTGCCGCTTCCCCAGCTCCTGTACAGTCAGGGTCATGGTTAGATATGAGATGAAAGAGCATATTCAAATGTGTGATGAGCCATGGCTCAGGTCTCCTTCCAGGAAGCAGAGAAATCTAAGGGATGACTGAAGAATGACTCCTATAATTTGCTGCTTCCGTATCCTGGCAGGTGTCAAAGGCTGTGACTTGTTTCCTCATTTGTCTGATATAGGGCAAACGCATGAAAGTGCATCCCATGCCATGGGAAGGGAAAGGAAGGCTGCCTTTGTCAATGAAGTGGTTAAACAGCTTTTTCATGGTGTAAGTGGTCACATTGGAGGCTTGCAATCTTTGTCAGGGGCTTTTATCTGAGACTGATTTGAAATTATCTCTACTCCTTCCATGAAGTCAACTCATTTTTGTTGTGCCAAGGGACTGCATATTTGAATCACTTCTTTGAGAGAAGTCGTGGGCTTCATGTTGGTGAAATGCTCTTGAAGGCTAGGCAGACATTCCACATTAGTTCTTCCAACTGCTGAGGAAAAGGGGACACAAAAGATAGTGATAAGTGGCTTTGAAAAAGCAGGATTATTTTGTATTCCTGTTGGTTGATGTCACAGACTTTTAAAATCACTGTATAGGAAGGGATCTTAGGGTCATCTAGTCTAACCCCTCTCCTGATGTAGGGATTTCACACTGGTGAAACCCTAAGGTGTTGTTCAAGGTTTTGCTCTGCGGCAGGGGTGGGGAACCTGTGGCCTCGAGGCCACATGTGGTCCTCTAGGTCCTCAAGTACCACCCTTTGACTGAATCCAAACTTCACAGAATGAATCTGATTTGTTTGGATGCAGTCAATGGGCTACACTTGAGGACCTAGAGGGCCACATGTGGCCTCGAGGCCACAGGTTCCCCACCCCTGCTCTGGGTTTCTTCTAAAATTAATAGATTCCTTCACAGTGTGTCTTTGATTTATGTCTCAGCCTCTGCCTCTCCAGCTCACCCAGGGACAGCATTCACTATGAGGAGGCAAAGGGAGAAAAGTAAAGCCTACCTTTTCTAGTATTTCTTTCTAAGAGGTGCTTCAACTTGCATTTAAATCCCTTCCCCCTAAAAAAGGATAGTGATCATTTTTCTGTACCACTATTCCCTGCCAATTTTTCCTTCAGGTTCTCAATTATTACTGCACATTAGTAGACTGCCTGTACCACCTTAACATGGACCTTGATTTTGGAAGCAAAGCTTGCATCTGCTCAAGTTTGTTGTGGAGTTGGTTTTAGAATGTCCAAATGGACATATCTATGTCTTAACTGAAGCAGAAAAGTGGAGAAAACGAATTTTAAACTATTCCCAGTTCCTAAAGGATCTATATATTTAGTTCATGTGTCAAACTAGACACATAAATGAGCAGAAGCAGAAGCAAAATAAAACTCCAGATTTGACTGTATGTACAGGTAGATGATGGATCTGAAAGAAGTCTGCAGGCCCTTTCCCTTACCCATGGAAAGGAGGCAGGATTGTCCTTCAGGATGGGCAGAGTAGGCCAGCAACCTATGTGGTACCTTCCCTCTCCCTACCAAACCTTCTCTTGTCTTCTTTTCTCCCCTCCCCCCCATAAAGACACATTACAAGGTTTTGGTATCTACCTTAAAGAGATGTGAGCAACAAATGACAAATAATTAGGTATACAGTGCATTCTAACCCATGAGGCAATATATATAGAAATGCAAACATAAAGTCTCCTAGTGCCCTAAAATTGAACAGTGAAGAAGTTACACTAGCAACTATTGTTCAGCTGTGGTCTGAAGAAGGGATTACTCCTTGAGGATAGGGACTGTGACTCCCCACAGCGCACTGCTTGGCACTAGTATGGACTCAGTAAATGTTTGCTGGCTGGCTGACTGGCTGGCTGAATTTCTCTGGCTCCTGAAAGTCCCCCATGAAAATTCCAATACCTCTGGATGCCTTCCTACCTAACAGAAGACTGGCACCTCTGGCTGACAATCAGGAGAACAAGATAGGAGAAGGAAGGACAGATGATATGTGGGAATCAGAAAGAGGATTTGGAACTGAAAGGGGAGGTCACTTAGAACTAAAGGCAAACATGGCTGCTGAGTTCACAGCTTGTCCTAGGGCTGGCTTAAGACCAACCTAGAACAGCCAAAAGGCAGCGTTCTTGAGCCCAGTGTCACTTATGCCCTTTGAACCTTCCTCCCTGCACTCAAAAAGCCTCTGTCTAGTAACTGAGATGAACACGAAGCATATTTGAAGTAGATTATATATCCTTGAGCTTATCTCTGCTACCAGACTGTGAGCTCCATCCATGGGGCAGAGACTGCCATCATTCGTCTTTATATCCCCTCTATCACTGCGTCTTGCACCTCATGGGAGCCTCAATACAGATGTCTGTTGAATTAAGACTGTTTAATTATGACAGCTCTTGTTCTCTAAGTGGAGAAGACTTAGCAGCTTTGGTATCATAGAGTTACAGAATTTCAGGATTAGAAGGGACCTCCGTGGCATCTAGTCCAACCTATCCCCGAACAAGGACTTTCCCAATAACACAACATATAACATCATCCAAACTCTGCTTCCAGTGAGGAAGCAAACAGTGTGATGTTCTTTATGGTCCCTTGTAGTTCTGAATTTCTAATCCTATGATGAACTTCCAGGGCAACTCTGGAATAGATTTCTGCCCTAATATGTATTCCACTTGTGGATAGCTCTAATCGTTAACATGTTTTTCTTTACATCAAGTCTAAATTTCCTTCTTTGCAACTCTGAACCATTGCTTGTAGTTCTGCCTTCTAGGCCCAAACAAAACCAATCTATGCCTTCACATAACCACCCTTGATGACAGTATTCCTCTTTAAGTCTTCTGTTCTCCAGACTAAACAACCAGTTCCTTCAACCATCCTCAGACCACATCTAAACTGGTTGAACAAGTGGGAGGGAGAAAGGGCATCACCGCTCCTTAGCAGACCTATTGGGGGACCAAAGGATCACATATCTAATTCTGGAAAAGACCTCTGAGGTCATCCAATCCAACCCCCTCATTCTACAGATGAGGAAATGGCCCAGGGTGAAGCAACTCACAAAAGATAACACAGGGGGTAAGCAGCAAAGCCTAAAGTCAAGCCTGGTCTTCTGACTCCAAATCCAAGGCTGGCCTGCTGACCTCCCTGGCTTCCTTTACGTTTTAACTAAAATCCAATCTTTTACTGGAAGCCTTACCCAAACCCTCTTAATTCCAGTGCCTTCTTCCCTTTGAGATCACTTTCTATTTACACTGTATATATCTTGCTTGTGTATAGTTGTCTACATGTTTTCTCTCTCATTAGAGCGTGAGCTACTTGGAGGCAAGGAACATGATTTTGTCTTTCTTTGTACCCCCAGCACTTAGCATAGTGTCTGGCAGACAGTAGATGCTTAATCAATGCTGGTTGACTGGAAGAAAATTTCTAGTGCCTTCCCTCTATTAATTATTTCTTTATTTTTTTTGTTTGCATGTTGTCTCCCCCCTTAGATTGTAAGCTTCTTGAAGGCAGGGACTCTCTTTTGCCTCTTTTGCCAAGCACTTAGCGCAGTGCCTGGCACAGAGTAGGTGCTTAATAAATGTTTATTGATTGATTTCTTCTATGTCCTTTATGATATGTAATGGGAAGGCAGCATGGGGTTATGGAGAGAGTGCCAGCTTCAGAGTCAAGAGGTCTGAAACATGCTGATAAATCACTTAGATCTATTGGTAACATCTGAGTTGCAAAACAGTTGTTAATCTTTGGTAAAAGGAATTTCTTTACAGAAATGATGAGATCACAGGACAGAGGGAAGAAAAAAAAAAACTTCCCCAACTTTGGAATCGGGTTAGATGGCCTCTGGACAAGGTGTTTGGAATTCTTTCTAATATACATTCCCCAACTACTGTGTCTACCCAGCAGAAATCCCTCCTACAAAGCCAAACCATCCCAGGAGACAATACTAGTTCTTTGAGTTAAAAAGCCTATTAGCAAATAAAAGGCACTATCTCTAGAGGCAAGAGTTGATTGCTGTTATCCTCCGGCCTCTTTCTATAAATGGACTTAAAGAAAAAAGAGACTATGTCTGAGATATTGTTCCTTTTTGAAGCACACTTAACGCAATCCTTTGGGGGAAAAATGGAGAGGGAGCAGACTGAGACTTATCCTCAGATGAAAAAGTACATTAGGTCTATCTTCACCTCCCCATAGTTTCCTTATTCAGGACTCTTTCTTCTTCTTCAATTGAAGAACTGTTTATTAAATCTATATTATATGCAGGGCACTCTATAGGTCCTGGGAGAGATAAACAGAGTAACTAAGTCAAAGCCTCTGCATTCAGATAGTTTATAATCAAATAGGGGAAATACCATCCACAAGGAAGGGGACAGGGACTGAAGCTATGGTTTTAATGATGGAGGGAACTCTAGGATGAAGAAACTCCTATCAGTGCAAGTCAGCATCTTGTAAACTAAAAGCTAGTTGAAGTGACTTGCCCAGGCTCACACAGCCAATCTCAGTCAGAAGCAGGACCTAAACCCAGTCTTCCTGACTTAAGAGGCCAGCTCTCTATCCACTATGCCATCTACCTTTCCTCCCATTCACAATCACATCTCATTCAAAGGAGAATGGGATAAGGGCAAAGGGAGGATTTGAACAAAGTGCTTTCAGAACTTTGAAGATGGAGAGATCACTTTTAGGTCACGGCACAGTAGATCAGGTACAGCCGTGTGTGCCAGGCGTTTCCTGAGTTTGGCTTACAAGGACCAAAGGAAACTCAACAGGTAGAGATTGGGGAAAGAGGAAGTAGTCTAGTCTATTCCAAACATGGGGGACAGGGTGACCAAAGGCACAGATACTGGAGAGGGGTAGGATGAAAAAGGGAAATAGTTAATAGTGCGTAGCCCAGTTTGCTGTAATATAGAAGGGGAGTAGTGTGAAAGAAGGCTACAAAGGAAGGTTAGAGCCAGATTATTGGAGGCCTTGAATGCCAGGATAAGATACACACACACACACACACACACACACACACACACACACACACACACACACACA